TATTTGATGTTTTTTTAATAGTCTAAATTTCGTGAAAAAATTCGAGAGAAAATTAGATTTTATCGTATTACTGCACATATCGATTAAATGCTATATCAAATGCTATATGTAGTGTAAATATTTTAATTTTTTTGTATACGATCTATTTTTTATAATTTTTTCGTATACGATCTATTTTTTATTCTATCGATGTTTTCATAGTGATGCACCTTGAGCATTTTACTTCATATATTTGAAATAAAAATATATTAAAGCAAATTATTTTGCAAATTTATTATTCTAATTTTTATTTAGAAAGAATAAGATTTAAAAAGACGTATGAATTTTTTCAGATTTGTTTACATATTTCTATTGCAAAAAACGCATCAGATAAAACTGACTTTTCTGTACATTTTAAATGTGCCAAAAGATTTGCTCTTTATTCCACTTACTGCAATAATGTACACTAAAAAAGACAGATCTATATTAAAAATGATAGATTAGTAGTATATTTAGTAGTTGGAAAGAAAGAGAGCAGAAATGAAAAGTGCATCTAGATAATTTAAAAGAATAAAAAACAAATCTAAAAATAATACATAAAGATTAATATTATGTATTTTTTTTCATGAGGAATGTGGAGCGCACATTTATGCATTTATTTATTTAGATGAGATTTACTTTAGAGCACATTCAGTATTCAATTTTAATTTTATTTTCTCTTTCTTATGATATATAAGTATAACATAATTACCTGCAAATGCTATCATTTTTGTGTGCTTACAGTGATACAGAAGCAACATTACAAGTACTATATTTACAGATAACATCTGTATAATAAAAAAAGCACCAAAGTCTAATGGTGAAAAAAGGGTAAATATTATAGACCAGGATAAGTATCAATCAATTATTCCATCGCTCTGTTTCATTAGAGTTGCAATTTTCTTTTATAATATCATGAATATTATAAATAAGATAAAGATTTCAGTACGTTTCAAATAAATTTATATATTTTATGTATGTAATACTGCGCACACATATTAAAAGGTGATAATATCGCAGTTAATAAGATACAATCCTGGCAATGTAGCGATTTTTGGATTCTGAAAATAATTTAATTTGATTTATTTTTAAGAAATGCGCACAATACTTGAGAGCAAATTATTTTTGTGCCAAGTATTACCTGTGTAAAATTCCACACACAGTATCATATTGCGGTATATGAAAAGCTTCATCGATGAAATAATGTGATAATACAATTGAGATATAAGCAAAATAATATAGTACTTGTAATGAATAACGTTAATGTGGAATACAAAAAATTTTATATTTTAATTTTATGTAATCGAGATGAGATAAGACACTCATGATTACTTTAAAAATGTATCCACAAATATCATGTAACTTCAATAGCTGCACATTCGTCAAATTAATCCTATTACGTTAAATGAATCACAGCAGTGTTTGTTTTAATTTAATCTAACCTAACCAATTATATTATATGCTCCTCATTAAAATGTGTAAAACTGTACGTCGCACATTTAATGCGAATAATATACTACGTAATAAAATGTAATACACTAATGAAATAATTAAATATTATTTTTGAAAGCATGATACAATCCAGGCAGCATACGCTTGTGTTTACATTCGATATCCAAAGACAGAGATTAGGTTAGGTTAGATCAAACAAATTTATCGTTTAACAGTTGGCAGCCCTACGAGATAGGCTGTGCAGCACTGCGCGCGCGTATACAAAATTCAAATAGCTTCTAGCATAACCATCTTCACGCGATCGACTTTATTTGAATTGCACCGAATCGAATTATGATGCAGCGCCGATTTATCCGAATGCAATTCGGGACATCGCGATGCTGTATAAGCGTCGAATGAGCACGAATTATCATGCAAATATGATAAATCAAATCTACTCACCGGCTGTTCCACAGGCCGCTCCTCCTCGGGACAGTTCGCTCGCCTCGGGACGTTCTATTCCGATCTTGATGCACACAAATTCACACGATATTATCAACGCGAACGCGCGACACTTTATTCGGCACTCCCGATACTCGCTCGCATCCGATAATCATCATCAAGGGCACGAATAACGCGACGCAACTTCGCTCCATCTTCGCGATGACGCCATCACTGAATATCGTCAAAAATCGCTGTCGCACGTTTCCATCGACACACTATAAAAGTCGCGCGATCATCCTTGGACACTTTCGACGCTCGTTCATTCGCGATATTCGTTTAAAAACGGTTAAAAGATGCGAAAAATGCGGACGTACGACGATCCGTGTAACTGCGTATGACTCCGGTTCACGCGCCAACATGGCGGCCGTATGACGCGTTTGACGTAGCAGTGACGTAGCAATGACGTAGCAGCACGCGCCAACATGGCGGCCGAACCAGTGCGCATTCGTTTCTGCGCATGGCCATTCCTGCGCGCAACGTTTGCACAACTTTGATTTCTGAATATTATCTACGGCTTTAATTAATAGCACATAATGATAAATATATAAAGATGGAATCAATTAATCATATTGGTCATATATGTAGACTTGCCCGAAGAAATAAAGAAAAAATTGAGATATTTTTAATTTCTTTTTTTTTTAGTAAAGGATGGAAATGTCTATTCATAGGCTTGTTCTTTTTTTCCTCTTTCGCGCAATTTCGATTCAATATATAACGTAGAAAATTCATAATATATTATGCTAATGATATGAATTACGAATGATTCGATTGTTTTATCGCGCTTCAAATAAACAAAAGTCACTCGATATTGTGCACCATTCTAATCGTACGAAATATATTCGACGATTTTTTTTGATCACTGTGTTATCAGAACGTGCGATCAGAACGATTCGAAAACGATGCATGTACAGAGTTTGAAGAGATATCCAATGCACGACAAATTATACTTGCGTTGATTAGTATTCATCAACACCGAACTGTTAATCGCAAATACGTGTTCATGACTTTCACACATTTTTTTCGCAAAGAACGATATACGAAATGCAATATTTCGCGCCTCGCATTTCACACAATGCGGCAACTTTTTTGCTGTTTAATATCGCCATCTGCTTCTGGCTATATTCATTTTGACGACTATTTGTTTACGATCGTACGATATTATGATCGTATTTTAACGTGCGTCATTTAGTCGTCAGAAATCGCGAAATAAATTATCATGCATAAAATATAATTAGCATGCATTTTAACTCTCGGTCGGCGGGTTGCTTATAAATATCTTTATTTTTTAGATTAAATATTTAGAAATTAAAAATCTATTTTTCAAATCGTTTTGTAAAGGCCAATATATATATAATGGAAATAAATATTTCATGTATGTCTATATTTATTGTCATTTTAAAAATATTTTTTCTTTTACTTTAATTTTTACACATCACATTTTTACATTTTTATTGTCCCGCCAATCAAGAGTTAGAAGCAATGGATTTCTTCATGCATTTACAAATCCTTTGCTTCAAAATAAAAAGTTGTCACTTACCGGCACTGATGCGCAACAGCGGAATTGATATTGAAGCTATGTTGTCTGTAACATACAAATATAAAATGCAAATTATATCAATGTTCAAAATAATTAATATTTTAAGAAATTATTATTGGACTCATTGAATTTTATATCCGATGTACGCAATTATAAATAGATGTATAAATATGAAATAATTTTATAAGTAATTAATTTTTTTTAAGTAGAAACTTTTATAGAAAGAATTATTATAAAAATTTGTTCAATTTTTTCATGTTTAAATCATTTATATAAATCAAATTAATTAATTAATTAATTTATATAAAATTAATATAAATAATAATACTCACCATCAGGTTGTTCCGCTGGTGCAAGATGCCTTTCCTAGGCCTGCTCCTCCTCTCAGATCATCTGGGTTGTTACATCTATAACATACAAATAGAAAATCCAAATTATAATAACGTCCAAAATAATTAATATTTCAAAGAATTATTATTGTATGTATTGTATTTTATATTCAATCCATATAATAAAAATCGATTTTATATCGAAATAATAATTTATTATTTTAGATTTCTATTATTATGATTCTTAGTTAAATGAATAAATTACGAAATATGCGATTCGAGAATTTTCGTTGTGATATATATAAATATTAATTATCTATAGTGATATTAATTATCTATAGTTATTTATAAAAGTTAATCAATCATATTGTTATAATAAATAATTTTTCGATGTTAATGGTGATCGTATCTAGAAAAGAAATTGAACGGCATATTATTATATTACGCATTAGACAATAACATATAAAATTATATAAATTGTTTCACAATCGACATGCAGATATTATAATGCTATCTGCATCTGATTTATATAATTTCATATGTTATTGTCTAATATTTTTTATGTATTATTAATGTTACGTTAAAGGTAGATTAAATGATGACCGAAACGTTCGTGTTTATTGCATTGTGACGAGTAATTTGAAATATAATTAAATATGAAATATATTAATAATTAAAAGAAAGAGGAAGGTTTTTTTCTGATGCTCCAATTACCGCGCCTTTTAGTGACTCTTAGTTGTCAATTGTGTAATTAATTTTTAATAATTGTTATTTGAGTCAATTTTTTCTTTTAATTTTAATATTTGTAGTATTTAATATTTAGAAATAAAGTAGAATATTTTTTGTGTTATAATTTATTTTCAATGATGAATTGTTGTGATAAAAACTATACTAAATTACATAGTAATGACGGCGGTAGTGATGATAGAGAGAGACCACAAAACTTATTTATGTTAGAAATTTATTTAATATATACAAACGTTTTGTGTTACGACATTTCGTTCACGTAGCATGGAACACAACCCGAAATTATATGTTACTCACTGAAAACGTAGATACTGGCAACATAGTTCATGTCTACGTTTTGTGTCCACAGAGAGCGCTATCATTGATATCGCTTTCATTGATATTTAAAAGCGTGCCATGACGTCTCTCATTCTTCTCTCTGGTCATTAATGAAAACGATAAGGATTGTAATGAATGAACGAAAATGGCGTCCGCCTTAGAGAATTTGGAAGCTCAATTGGAGCTCTTTATCGAGAATGTGCGGCAAATACGTATTATTGTGAGCGATTTTCAACCTCAAGGACAAAATGTACTGAATCAGAAGATGTAAGTATTTGTATAACGTGCACATCTTTTTATATCTGCGTGCAAAGACAGTGTTTTCATATGCTAACCTCGCAATAGTTTGCATCAATAGTGATGTCAGTCTCTTTAATTATAATTATTTCAATTAAATATGATATTAATTACGTATATATTCTACCTTCAAAAAATTTTTTTTGTAGACAAGGTTTAGTTAATGGCTTGCAAGAGATTGATAAGCTAAAATCTCAGGTGCAAGATGTCCATGTGCCATTGGAAGTATTTGAGTAAGTTTGACAATATCAGTATTAAAAAATATATATATATATGTACTAAATTTTTTACTTTTATATAAAACTGCTTATTTCAGTTACATTGATCAAGGAAGAAATCCTCAATTGTACACCAAAGATTGTATAGAGAAGGCTCTGACAAAGAATGAACAAGTAAAAGGAAAGATTGATGCATATCGGAAATTCAAGGCGAATATGTTAGTGGAATTGAATCGAGTTTTCCCAAATGAGTTAGCCAAGTACAGAGCAATTCGTGGAGATGAATAAGACAATCTAAATTTATGGGCCAGATCTTGACAACCAAATGATTCTTTATACATGCTGCCACAATCTGTAATTTGTCATCTTATAACTTTTTTATATTTGTTCAAAAAAATGTATTATCTAAATATATTTAATATCTTTTTCTTGTATATATTATAGGTGTAAATATATATTGCGATAAATGTATATGCAGTATTTTTTAAAGATTAAATAAACTTATAAACAATAAGCTCACAAATACTAAAAGTTTTTGTATTTTACACTCTTGATTCAATTAATCATATATAATTAGACTAACATACAAATTATTGAGTGGTGTTACGCTATGTTATTTATATTGAGACAATTGCATAGTTAGAAAATATGTAAAATTATATATGTGAAATTATTTTATAATCAATGTATCGAGTGCAAATTACAAAAAAATCACTAATTGATCTATGAAGATGCGAGATAGAATATATCTAATAAATTAAAATAAAAAATCAAAATTTAAAATTATTTTAATTTCAACTTTCAAAAAAATAAGGGGGAAGGGAATTTTCGTTAACCAATGTTAACATGTGTAACAAGATATGTTAACGATAATTATTTTTGATTCCACGCATATCAAGTGCGTAACACGTATGGTTAGTGGTAATAAGATATGTATGTTTATTTTATAACTAATCTTATAATGATTATAATGGAATTGCAATACATCAAATGTGTTTAACGATCGCAATCATAAATTGGTATAATTCAAAATCGTGTAACTTTGCATGATATAAAATGGATGAAGTATCGATAATATTTGTTTTGTACAAATATTTTATCAACGAAAAGCTGAGTGAATATTTGCTTTCAATTATTCGTATATTATGTATATATTACGAATAAAAACAATGTTATTGGTAAGTTAAAAAAGTATTCTATCAGTGCATAAAAATATAGAACATGGTTTATTTATTATTATTTACAGTGTCGCGAGAATAATTGCAATTTTAATGCCGGAAAAAATTGATATTTTAAAGAATCACTTTAATTGATCTATACGAGAGAGAATATATCTAAAATAAATCGAAATAAAAAATAAAAACTGATAATCTCAATAGATAGATTGTACAAATTGTACAATATTTACAAGATGTAATATCTGTTAATACAATTTCTTTAATAACTTATCTTTCTTATCTATCTATTCTTTAATAATTTATCTATCTTTTTATTTATCTATCTATCTTCGATTTTTTTAAAGGATTGTATGTACAATCCCAGCAAAAAGAAGCTGAAAATCAATATTGACGAATATATCCACTTTTGATGTATTTTGAGTATGAGAAATTGTGTGGAATATTATAATTTGATCTTAGCTACAGTGCAGAGATTTTTTAATATTTATTGCGTGTTTTCACTGAAATATTCCGAATTTTATTAATTGAAATGATTAACTTTTGGCAAAGAATTTCGCCTTGTGACAGATACATAGCTAACTTCATTGAATTATATTTAATATCTTTTTAACCAGTACTTGTACCCAGGTAGTAAGCACACGTTATTTTGACATTCTAAATTGATCATTCACTGTCTATTCTTGACGTGACGAATTGACGTTTTTATGACGTAAAAGTAACGATCTAATGTCACAGATTCTTGATGTCATGACATGTACCGCATTTTGACGTCATAAAATGTACCATATTTTGATATCTTTTTCTTAGAATAATAATATATTTAATAGTGTGATCGAATAAAACACTCTCTAAAAGTGAATCAGTATATTGTCACTGAAAAACAGTAAATAGTCACTGATTACAGCAATTATAAGTACAGTACTGTAAATCAATGATATTTTATTGAATGAATAAGTTAATAATTTTGACTATTTTAATCAGTAATATCTCAGTAATATTTCTCAATAATATTTCTCAGTAATATTTCTCAATAATATTTCTCAGTAATATTTCTTTCGTTATCGACAGTAATATTAAACTACAATTCATCTCTCTATCTATTTCATAAATATAATATAAATATAATAAATGTAAAAAAATAAATATATATAAATATAAATAAATATATATAAAATTAAAAATTTTATTTATATTTACTAAATATTTATTATATTAAAAATTTTATTTTATTTATATTACATATATATTGAATCTGTTATTTTAAATAGATAACGAACGAATAATTTTTATTAAGTAGCCAGACATTTATTTGTCCGACTTATAAGATCGATTTAAAATCTGAAGCCTCTCTATCTCTATGAGATTGTATCAGAAATTAAATCGAAATAATATTTCTAATTTTATCTGTCACTCTTTGCAAATTTTATATAATTCTTATGACTAAAACTAAATACGAGAAAGATAGCGATCATAGCGGTAACTAGCGGAGCGAACTGGTTTTACAATGAATTTTACTTTAACAATTGTTAAAGTTTGATCGCGAAAGTCATGTTATATAAAAAATGTTGAAAGATTTTTTTATGGAATCAATGTGCTAACTAATGACATTAATAATAAAATAATCGTCACTTCATGATTAAAAAATGATGTCAAAATAATGTTATATCAAGACGTCAATATAAAGTCATGTAACAAATCAGTCATTTTGACGAAACATATGACCAAAAATGACCAGTTGGAACATCAAAATAACATGTGCTTGCTACCTGGGTATAATATTATTTGATCAAATATTTCCTCTGTATCTAAACGTTTGCAAATTTTAAACAAATTCTGAATATTATTTCCATGTGTTTTTGTCATTTGAATCGACGTGGATACGTTCCATAAGAACACATATTAATTCGGTGCAAATTAAAATCTTTATAACTTGTGAACGCTTTAGCGAATCGATTTAAAAATTATACTGAAGATTCTAAACATATGTAAGGACATTCTGTACAATTTTCAATATTCTAATTTCTAAATTCTCAATATTTTGAAAATAGGTACAAAACATTCTTAAATGATTGTATTCATTACGACGCAACGAAACGTAACGCTTATTAAGACGCGTGAATAAACTTTTTCGAACATTAGAGACACATCGAGTTTCGCCCCACACTCGGGTTTTCCCCTACTCAATGCGGCATGAATATAATCTTCCAGCGAAGGATAAAACCCATTCCGTAAGCGACAATCGAGCCTTCGACAGTAGCCTTGGCGATCATTTTAAGCGGCATGCTCGCTCTACTGATCATTGTCTTCGTGTTTGGCAGTGTTATTCAAGCCGAGGAATACACGTGAGTTCTGAGCTAGAGATTGATATCGTTCTTATTTTATCCATTTCGATCTTTTTGATATCATAAGTCCATAAAGGAGAATGCATCGATTGTCGCGTTGCTATTGTTGCATATAGATACAGAGATTCTCGTGCACTCGGCATTGGAATAATGCTTGATATCGATGATTAAAATTGATATAATTTCGATAAATCGAGATTTTACATACATTTGTACAGATTTGCTTTTAAAACGGTCAAGAAAGAACACTGGGTTCCATCGCGTAAATGTTAGTCTTAGATAGAAAAGCAATTCATTTGATGTGTACGGTGAAAGCAACAGGTGGGTGGATTTATTGAGAAATAGACCGCATCGGTTGTCCTGGGGAGTTCCCGAGAAATGTTTGAAAGATAATTGTAATAAATGTTTACAATTTTTTTCTATCATTCTCGAGCTTGGATTTACAATCACAATGTAATAAATGTTTACAGTTTTTTCTATCATTCTCGAGCTTGGATTTACAATCATAATCTGCATTTAGAAATCCTTTCACGACAGTACCGTCATAACGGTGAAATATAATTTGCCTTTTCTCTTGACAATAGGAATTATTTTTGATGCTTGATAGATAAAATATATACCCAGGTAGCAAGCACACGTTATTTTGATGTTTCAAAGTGGTCATTTTTGGTCGTATGTTGTCAAAATGACTGATTTGTTACATAGCTTTATATTGACGTCTTGATATAACATTATTTTGACGTCATTTGTCAGTCATGAAGTGGCATAAGAAACTGTAAACATAATTATCTTTCAAACATTTCTCGGGAACTCCCCGGGGCGACCGATGCGATTTATTTCTCAATTATTTTATTATTAATAATGCCATTAGTTAGTACATCGATTCCATAAAAAATCTTTTAAAATTTTTTACATGACTTCGAGAAACTTTAACAATTGTTAAAATAAAATTCACTGTAAAATCAGTAAATTTCACTGTAAAACCAGTAATCGCTAGTTCGTTTGTATACCGCTTTGATCGCTATCTCTCTCGTATTTAGTTTTAGTCATAAGAATTATATAAAGTTTGCAAAGAGTGACAAATAAAATTAGAAATATAACTTCGATTTAATTTTGATACAATCTCAATGGAGAGTCTTCAGACATTAAATTGATCTTATAAGTCGGACAAATAAATGTCTGGCTACTTAATGAAAATTATTCGTTCGTTATCTATTTAAAATAACAAGTTCAATATACATTTTTTTTTAGGGGATCTCACTGCTTTTTGTAAAAATTTATATTATTTCTACAGAAAATATATGTTAGATTTTTTAAAGATATTTTTTTATGTACTTGACGTATTTTATTTTACCGTTATAAAATTGTTTCTAGACGGATATCACCACGTTTATATTATTTCTGCAAAAAATATATACGCATTTTTTTAAATTTTTACTAAGGATAAGTCGCATATTTTTACAAGGTTTTATTTTCTAGATATTAGAGTTCACTCCCAAGGGGTGGTTTTTGAATATTGTTATAATACGATAAATTAGTCTCCTTAGAAGTCTTATATAACGGTACAGTTTTTATATTTATATGATACCGTTTTCGAGATAGATTAGCTTTTATCCCTAAGAGGTTTTTGAAAATTGTTATGCGATAAATTAATCTCTCACACGTATACACACACATATACACATATCACACGTATGCACACACATATATATTAATGGTTTTGTTTCTTAAAGCATTTTTGCATACTAAAGCGAATAATCATATATGCGCGGTATGAACGCAGCTTGAGGGACAAAATCGCTTTGAATGTGTGCGTGCGAAGATACGTTCATGATTCTAAACCTTATGATGGAAAATGAAAAATGTCACAATTCTGATATGCGATTATCATTTCTCGGGATTGACTGCACCAATTTTATTCAAACTGGTCACAATCGAAAGCTTGTATTCACATTATATAAGAAAAATGCTGTTAGATTTTTAATTACTGCTTTAGTTTTTGAAATATTTCAATCGAAAGTTTATGTGACGTCATTTAACGTAAAATTCCGGATAAGCTACTTGATAGTGTCACGACGAGAACAGTGACTCTCAATCCTCGGATCCAATTTTCTATCAGTTTTTTATGTACATGGCGTCGCGGCGCTACTGCGTCGCTTGATATATATAATTATTCTTATACTAATAACTTCCTCTATACTTGTTATTAACAGTAGTTGCGTATAATATTATATAGATATTTCATCGTTATCGAACTATTTATGTGTTATTATTCTCCCATTATTTTACTTGAAGTAAAATAATGGGAGCATAATAACACATAAAGATGTAAGATATCTAAATTATTGAAAAGTCTGAGTCATAATGTTTAAAGAAAGCATTTTTGTTCCTTTCTTATATTTAAAAGTTTAAGAAAATTATAATATGCACATAATAAATTCAACATGTTTGTTTTTAAAATAAATATTATAAACAAGCTAAACAATTAGATTACACGGTTATATTAAAGTATTACGAAATTTACAACATTTATTATTATTTAAATGTTTTGAAATGGTAATAAATTTCGAAGCTATATTTATATTAACTGTAAAAAAATTATATTGAAAAATTATATTAAAAATTATATTTTGTTATCTTGTTATAACTTTATTGACGCATTTAATTAAAGAAAAATTATATTAAAAATTATATTTTGTTATCTTGTTATAACTTTATTGACGCATTTAATTATACGATTTCCTGTTTTACTTTTTTAATTTAAACTTTTAACTTCTTCATGAACGACATTTCTAAAAAGGAACGAAAATATATGTGTACATATTTTATATATATATATATATATATATATATATATATATATAAAATCATACAAAAAATGCTTTAGGAATTAAAGTAATCTTAACTCATTTAGTATCGATTACGAATTAATATCATAATTTATTGTACTTCGCTAATAGTGTTGATCTCATATCGGTTTTTAAATGTTTTATTTTATCACTCTTTTGGATTTTTTGATTTTTTTAATGTACTTGGTGTATTTTTTTATCTTTATAAGGTTTTTTAGGGGATAAATAAATATTCTTTTGAAAAGAATGTGATAGTCTTCTTGGTGACTTAAAAATAATTAAATTATTTAAAAAATTTTTTTAAATTATTTTTAAAATTGTAGTAACATGATTATATGTTATACGTTACAATATTTTCATGGATAATAGTCCTGAGTTTCGTTTTATGAATATCATGTAACAACTGGCCATATGATCATATTAATGCTATGTCATGTGTGGTTTAAAATCTTCTATTAGAATTTTATGAGAATTAAGATACTGCGAGAGAGAAAGAAAGATAATGAAATAGAAAATTTGATCGAAAGAATGATTAATTGTCTAATGATATCTTGCATTACTTGATTATTGACATAAATAGAGAATCATATTCTAATTACATAGGTATAATTAACATATAAACTTTCTCTACATTTTTTAAACAACAATACTAGATCTGGATATTACAAATGCTAAATGTGCTGAATAAAGGATCCAGCCCCAATGACCTTGATCTTCACATATGTTATCAAGATCACTGTCCTAAATAACATGTAAAAGATTTTAGCTGTCGCTCGTTGTTTATTAAAAAGTTATAAACAAAAGAAGTTTTACGAAATTTCACAAAATTTTCGGACACCATGTACAATAACAGATCATTATATTTTATCAAGATCACCGTTCTAAATAACATGCAAAAGATTTGTATCCCGCTGGGTCCCCTATTCAGTACATTTATCACCTCTTAGCTTATAGACATCATGATTAATTAAATTATCATCGATATACAGCGCTGTATTAATGAATTAAAAATCGCGAAAAAATTATAAAATCAATACTTATATAAATATAACGAGAACAATCAATCAATTTAATAAAAAATCTTATAATAAAAAATAAGAGAATTTTCTCGCAATATGCAAACATTTGGCAAAGAATATCAATATTTCTTCTTCAAATCGCAGGTCTCCTTGGCACTATAAATGCGATGGCGGTCTCTGTAAAAAGGTATTGATCACGGAAATGGATACCAACCCGGTCGCTCTCAGCGTATGCCAATTGTCCTGCGGTCAATCTGGTACCCTTTGGCCGAAACCGACGGGACACTTCTCCATCGGCAACACCGTGGTACCAGTTAACCCTGAGAACATTGTGCTAGCCGGGATTTCCACAGAGACGGTAGTAGGAAATCTTCTTCAGAAGGTCGTGGATCGCTTGAAGAAGGACGTGAAGAGACTTGGCTCTGTGACTCCGAATGCCGGTGGCACAAAACTGGTGATTCGCTTCGACGAAAAAATCAATCTCGTCGATGCCAAGCTGACCTTGAATACCAACGAGAGCTACGTTCTCCATGTTGCCATAATCAATGGAGAGGTAAGCTGTAGCAAGAAGCGCGCATCGTGTTGAATAAATTTATTTTGTATTCTCATTAAATTGCTGACTAATGTTTCTGTTGATTGTCCGATTGTAATTTATGCGTTGTCCCATTTGGATCTCAAAAATAAAACTGTGTTTCTTATACGAATAAAAGAATTAAAATAAATGAGATACGATAAAAATGGCAAAGGTAAACGTATGCGACGATGTTAAAAATTGAAATATTTATAATATTATTTACTAAGATTTTATGATAGATTAAATCCTTCTCTATTTATTTCAAGCATTATTATCAATATTATTTTTGTGACTATTATTAGTGAAATACATTAGAAATGAGTTTTTTGTTTCATGTTCAAAATAAAAATATAAATATAATATGTGGGTAACGCACTGACATTGAAATTAAAAAATCATTAAAACTTTTGCACGATGGAAAGATGATATATTTTGTTTTGCAAATTATTACCGTTTTCTATTTTTTGGAGACTTAAAGCCATAGAGAAAAATTAAAAAATTTGTATATCCAATTTTTTTTAAACATATATCCATAATTACTGTTTGCTAAAATGAATTTTAGATAGAAGTCTACATCACGGCAACCACATACTTCGGAGCTCGACATGCCATAGAGACCCTTAGTCAGCTGATCGTTTTCGATGACCTGCGAAATCAGATTCAAATAGCTAGTGAAGTGTACATTGTGGACAGTCCAAGGTATCCCTATCGCGGGATCGTTCTGGACACAAGTCGAAACTACGTCGACAAAGAGACGATCCTGCGAACGATCGACGGCATGGCTATGTCCAAATTGAATACATTTCACTGGCACATCACCGACACTCAGAGCTTTCCCTATGTTAGCAGAACGTGGCCCGATTTTGCCAAATATGGTAGCTATGATCCAACCAAGATCTACACTCCCGAAACTATTAGAGAGATTGTTGATTATGCTCTGGTCCGCGGTGTCAGGGTTTTACCAGAGTTTGACGCACCTGCGCACGTTGGCGAAGGTTGGCAATGGGTAAATAATAACTTGCATAACAGTGGACTTCTGAAAGATACATAATATAATTAATTGAAAGATACATACTGAAAGATACATAATATAATATAATTAACTTTTATTTGAATGAAAATTATCGTGAGAACTTTTTCATTATTACGAAAAAAGTATGAATCAGCTTCTTATTCATTTAGATCTTAATGACTAATTATCATTGTAGATTAAACAGTCTGTTTGAGAGTTGACATCTGTATTTGCGTCAATAATCCTTAATTAAGAGCTGTCGTGTATATTATTCAAGCACAGATGTTGTAATCTCGTGATATTTTATTAAGCATTCCATAAAATACTTTGATCATACGTTATTAATAATAATAATATAGAGTAATGCATACATTAATTGCATTTAATATAAAATTGTAAAATAAAATAAAATGACATATAACAATAATAACATAAGTAATATAACATTTAACGTATATAACATATATGTGTGTATGAAATAAATAAACACACATACAAGATAAATTTTATTACATATTTATTTTATTACTTATATTTTTTCTTGTAAAAATATACTCATACTTTTTTCTCGTATTATATTACATTTCATTATTAGAAAAATTATTTATTTATTTGTTATAATTATTTATTTATTAGTGGAAGAAATTAGTAGGAGAATTAAATGACGCTTGCATAGCGCGCACTTTGTAATCTGTTAAACAAGGACATATTTTGATCAAGTATAATTTACTATTTCTCTTTATTCAAGGTTGGGGACAACGCGACAGTTTGTTTTAAAGCCGAGCCCTGGAAAAATTATTGCGTGGAACCGCCATGCGGTCAATTAAATCCTACCAGTGAAAAGATGTATGAAGTTCTCGAAGGAATCTACAAGGACATGATAGAAGATTTCCAACAGCCGGACATCTTTCACATGGGCGGCGACGAAGTGAATATCAACTGTTGGAATTCCACGAGTGTCATCACCAACTGGATGCTAAATAAGGGATGGGATCTTAGTGAAAGTAGCTTTTACCTGTTGTGGAATTACTTCCAGGAGCGAGCTCTGGAGAAACTGAAGATTGCCAACGGCGGTAAGGATATTCCGGCTATCCTATGGACCAGCGGACTCACTAGCGAGAAGAATCTTGAGCATATCGATCCTAAAAAATATATCATCCAGATTTGGACGACTCACAACGATGCAACTATTGGGAGACTGTTGCACAATAACTTCACAGTTATTTTCTCAAATTACGATGCTCTATATCTTGATTGTGGGTGAGGAGAATTAATGAAATATAATAGTACATATTTTTTGTGAAATTTCTTGTAAAGAATTGACGACTTAAAAAGCTTAATTGAAGTCTTTTTGATCAATTGCACAATTTAAAGAATCTTAGATAGACTTAATATGTAAGATGAAATGCCACTCTGAAAAAAATGAACATTAAATGTATAATTAATATACATATAATTATTTATATACATATTATTAATATTATTTATATACATATTATACAAATAATTAATATATATAGATTAATATATATACATTATAGTTTATGTATATCGAATGTATTCTATAAATATAAATTAATTTTTTTTAATTAACCATTGATTTTTTTTCTTATAGATTTGCTGCTTGGGTGGGTGATGGTCTCAATTGGTGCTCTCCATATAAGGGCTGGCAAAAGATTTATGACAATTCTCCATTACAGATAATTAAAAACCAAGGATATGGAAACAAGGCACATCTTATTTTAGGTAAAATTACTTTTTAAACTTTATTAGCAATGCCATGAATTGTATATTATAGATAATGTTATAGAAAATATTAAATAAGATGCTACTGAAATAATTATTGTATTCTATACATATATATGTTATGTATAAAATATATAATATTATATTATACTTAAAAAGAGATAAATATTCTTAAAAATATTATGTCAATATGTAGATTTATCGAATCTGAATTTACATCAGAAATTTTTATTTACTTCTTAATATTAATATTGCAAGTAATTACAAATGATCTAATATCTAATACGTACAGGTGGAGAAGCTGCACTTTGGACTGAACAGGCGGATAGCACATCCATCGATTCGAGGTTGTGGCCGAGATCAGCCGCAATGGCCGAGAGATTGTGGAGTGAGCCGGATTCCAACTGGCTTCACGCCGAGCCGAGGATGTTGATGCAACGCGAGAGACTCGTCGAACGTGGGATCAACGCGGACAGCTTGCAACCTGAATGGTGCTTGCAAAATCAAGGCTCGTGCTACGCATAAATTTTGAACGGAAGATTTACATTTCTATGCAATTTTGTTGTTTTTATCTCATGTTAAAATAAATCATAATTATTTTGATATGATTAAAAAAACATTTTTTTAAAATCTAAACTTTCCATTCAATATATTCAAATTTGTAGTCAAACAAAAACAATCGGATAATTTATAAATTATATCATAGAAATTTTTTATTTAACATTCTATGTGCATCAAGCAGGATTCATATATCTTATTCTGTAAGAATTTATGATAATTATAATTAGAATAAATTTTATCATCGTATCTTTATTCGTATAATTCACAATATTTTTGAGCTGTGAAGAAAAGCAACAAATGCCGGCAAATGATTATAATTTAATTTCGTACATAGAATATTATATCAGAATGATTGATTGAGTTCTCGTTGTTTCTCTCGATGAAGAGATGAAATTGTATGTTTATCCAAAATCATCTGCTATATCGCAGCTGCCAAAATGAATTAATCATAAATATAGATGTATATGGATACGTGTATATACAAATAATTTCTACTTGCAGGTACAGTGTAACGTTACTTATGATCGTTGATCATAAGTTAAAAATTGAATTGATGCTTGAAATTTATCTGCAATGTGATTTTGCAGACTATCTTGCTACATATATAAGATCATATCTCATTCTTAATAACGTAAAAATTTTCAGAACATAATAATTATTCTTTCACCATTTCCTTCGTTCGATTAAGTGCAGGAAGAAAAAACATTGAGAGGATAGGAATTATGAATACATTCGTATCCGTATTGTACCAATTATTCATTTTTTAAACAGCAGAGATGGTATCAATATTCTTGAATATTGCAATTAATTTATTATAGTAGATTTTTTGACAATGTATCTTCTTTCTTCCTTTTTCTCTTTTTCAAAGAGATAAAATCTTATTTTACGAATTAAACGCGAATAAACCTAACATCCACATTTCATATTAATAGACAGATCGTTAAAATTCGGGAATCGTTTGGTTTTTATATCTTTTTTATATATCATATGCTCAAACGAGCATATAAGCAGAAATTCTATTTTCTGCAACTGTGGTTCAATCTCGATTGGAGATCATAGTGCCATGGAAAAAATTTTGCTCGTTTTCGCGAGTAATTAAATTTGATTTAACCATTTTAACAATTTTTGTAATTCATCTTAATAGTTTTCCTCTTTATTATCGAAGGGTGTTTTTACGAAGTACGTAGTGAGAGTTCCCTTGCCCTTCACATACGTCGGTCCTCGGCAAATGAGTTCGTATCCAGCATCAATGAGGATCTTGGCAGTGTCCTCGGTGACTTGAAGCTTGCCCATCTCACCGCAACTGTCCATCCTTGAAGCCACATTTACCGTGTTACCCCATATATCGTATTGCGGCTTCTGAGCACCCACGACACCCGCTATCACCGGGCCGTGGTTTAAGCCTACGACAAAAAATGTTTTTACTGTTATTAATATTTCGCAAAAAACTGAAAGGAATTATAACATTGATAAATTATATTGGTAAATATGATTGATAAATTAATATTTGATAAATTAATATTTGTAATTCTTTATCAATTATTCGTCTTACTAAAAATATTTCTTATCATTATAAAAGATACGAAAAAAAGATATTTTTAGTAAACTTTTACTACTACTAATAATAATATTAATAAGTTTAATATCAATTTAAATAATTGTTTTTTTCTATAATATTTTTCAATATATTCACCCATCCTCAGTTTGAATCTCTGGAAAGAATCTCTATTGATTTGATCCAGAATCGTCATAAGTGCAATAGCAAACTCGACGAGTACGATTACATTATGATCTTGTTGCTTTAGTAAGTCCTGCGTGAAATATATAACATGGATTATTTAAATCTTTAAAATATAAGAAAAATAATAAAATATAAGAAAAATAATAAAATTTTTTTTAAATTTTTTATCCGCATATAATTATTTTATACATTCATATATAAATGTTTTTTTTATGTTAATGGTTTTTTAGATTTATATATTCAAATCAAATCAATAAATAACTTCTGAATTATTACAGTTTTATAAACAAAAAATTAGAAATTTTTTAAAAAACTACAAATCCCGAGAATTTGATCTAGAACTCTTACCTTACTATCACCATCCTCCTTTCCTGGACTTAGGCCAGATGCTAGCATGTAAGTACTACCTATTGTTTTGATTTTCTCGATTCCTGAGAATTTCGGCTTGAGTAAGAGTTTGTCGAAATCGCAGATGATCTCATTGAGTAAACGCAGACATTCAAGGCCTTGCTTATTTATATCGGTTTCATCGTAAAATTCCTTGTAATTTGGAATCGATGCGAACATTACAGCAATACTGCTATATCTCTCATGATAGAGTTCCTGTTATTTTAAGGCAGTAATTATTATAGTACGCTATATATGTATGTATGTTTATATTATTAGAATCAGATGATAATATATCTAGTATAAATTCAAAAAAACAATTTTGCTGGAAATAAATAATTGAATAATAATTAATCAGTATCAAAATTACTCAGTGTTTAATCATTATTAATTTGTTAAAAATATAATTTATAATAAAAAAAGTATATATGAAAAATATTATTAATAAATATTTAGAAAACGAAAAATAATTAATGTGTTATGTTTTCTACTGATATGTGTATAAATATATTTAGAATTTTATTGTGATATATGTACATCATAATAATGTTTAATCGAATTTACCATGCATCTGATATTTATCACAAAATAAATTCTGATAATTGTATAGTGCATAATTGTATATCCGATAATTATATGATGTATAATTGCATATCCGATAATTATATAGTGCATAAATATATAAATTAATTGAATTAAATTTTTGATTTTAATCCAGTAAATGATAACGAAAAATGATATTAATTAGAAATAAAATGATGAAAGATAAAGGTCTAAAGCTCACTTGAGTAGCCCTTGTAGCTAAAAAATGATCGGCCACGTGAGCCGGCAGTATGTTTTCCAGAAGAATCTTATTAATGCCTCTCATAGTCTCTACCTCATCCTGCTCAACTCTTAGCTTACTCTTCCACAAGATATCCGTTCTGGATGAGAATTCCACTTGCCGATCAAGAACGTGAAGTATCAGACTGATGAGCGCAAGCAGATATCCTACTTGTATTAGATAATGAATGCCATAAAACCTGTAGGAACGCAGTTCATGATAACGAAAGTACTTTTTAGCAAGTTTGCAATTTATAACATACGTTGCTCGAGTCTCAAGAGTCGTATCACTTACTTGCTATTAGGATTATCGTAATACAACTGGATGACTGGTACTTGAGAGAAGATTACAAGTATAATGGCAATGGATAAAAGCATTACATTCAGCTTCAACAAGAAACCGACCCTCAAGTGGGTCCAGCCAATCACCAGCGCTATTGCCGAGGAATACACATATAGCTGGAAATATTTATCGAGCATAATATAAAAGTTTGTAAGCGTATTTTAATAGAATTTTATGTTGATAAAAAAATGAATAACGAGCAGCGCAGCTTTGAATTGGAAAATATTAGCAGAATCGCGTCTGAAAATTTATAAAATTAATGGAATACGAAATAATTTTTTGCGAGACAAATATAAAAAGATAATTATAGGTAAATAATATTAGTTATTAAACTTTAAATGTAATAATAAAAAAATATTTTAGAATTGTAGCACATGCTACAATTTAATTTTTTTAACATTAAATAATATATTTTAGACATACGCACTGGTACGATGTATTCAGCATTCCAATCAACTTCGATCAGACTAATGATTGATGACGCGGTAGCCAGTAAGGCCGTTATTAAATACACCGTTATTCTGATACCTCGGCTAAGAGCGATTTGATTTGTTTCTTCGCCATTACTGGTGTCGACTTTTCCGCTAAACCATGAAATTATGGCAAATATAATTAGAGATGCTAAACCAGCTGCAAAGCAACCATAAACCGCGATGCTTCTGTAAATAAAAGAGGAAGTTTATAAGTTTTAAATAAATATAATTTTATCATTTATTTAGATACCATTAATAAGAGAATTCAATATATAATTAATAGAGATTAGTTTGATAATTTATCATGTGAAAACTTATTATTAAGTTTTAAGTCCGTTTAATTGAGAGTTAAACAAATAAAAGTAGATTATCTAAAACGAGTATTGCCAACAATATATTTAATAATCTCATATTAATAGTTTCATTAATAGTTTCACAAATGTAAAAGTTGTTAAAAATATCATACAACTGATAATGTAATTTTATTCTATAGAGGTTTGCGGATATATTGGTTTTACAAGTTTTAACGTTATATTGTCAGGATAATATATTCCCGTGAAGTTGACCCGAGTATTAAACATTCGATTAGCTTGTTACAGGAACTCGCCTTGGTAGATAAATAATCTGGATGCAGAACATGAGTGTGTAAACCACGTTGGAAGCCACGACGTACCAAGGATATTGCTCATCTCTCTGTTCTCGATATAGCTGCTCTTGATTTTTGTCTTTGAACCAATAAGTAAAAGGCGAAATTCCCTCGCTTCCACTGCACCATTGTCTACAAAAAATTTGAAAATGTTCTATATTGTACAAATTATATAATTGATTTAATTTCATTAACAGTATGATTCGCGTATTTGTTGCGTCAAACCATCTATCTATTTGAAGGATTATATTGAGGTACATTAATATATAACAATTACATACATATATCGCGTGTGCCACACATAACGGAGAGAAGAGTGACATAATGCAGAGAAATAATTATTATTGAATCATTAAATTTAGCCATCAATTTGAATCATTTAAATCAATGTATTATACGTGATATTAAATTAATGATCTTAATTTCTGTTGATTTGATATATTGACATAAACCAATTGAAATATATGTAACTCACTGCGCGTCAAAGCAGCTGGCATTGTTCGCCAATAGATTCGATTCAATCATTGCGATGCTCTGTCGAGAAAAAGAAGTGGCGCAATTTTTAATAATTTTATGAAAATTATTTGTATTAATAATAAATAACAGCTTACTGTTAGGCCGATATTTTTTGCTAATGTTGCTTCCGCTATATTGGCAAAAGGCTTGTCCGCACCCCAACATTCCACATATTTTGTCATTTTGCTACTAGGCCTTGATCTATTATAAAAAATATATTATATATACATGTATCATATTAATAAAATGTTTAAATAGTCTTACAATTTTATTCATTCTTTATAATTATGCAGAGAATTATTTAACAATTTGTGATATTAAAATAATATCGATAAATAAAATAATACCGGTGGAATATTTGTTAAAGAATAATACGTATATATTATAGATAAATACGCGCATGTATATTATAAATAAAAAATATTGAGATTGTGCAGTTTTCTGTTTATATTCAGCGACACAATGTAATATCAACAACAAAAGCTTTTAGCCTTACTCTTTCATTTTTTATGATGTTGATATTTTTGCGTAAACCATTTTCATAATCAAATTAAATGGAATTACAGAATAAAACGTACCTGGAAGGTATTGGTCCAGGCCCTTGTATGCGATTTCCACCGTTTTCCATTCCATTTTCCTCTCGATTTTTCTACAGAAAGCAAGAATTATCAGCAAATTTGCAATTGCTTTTTTGTACTAGGAAATAAAATGTTACATTCACATTTTTTTAAATGTAATTGCATTAAAATATAATATATACATATTTTTTAAAAAAACATTGTAAATAATATGAAATCTTTATTTCCACGGAAGAATCTATATTGGAATATATCTTGCTAAAAGTACATACATTTTATTACGAGATATAACGAGTGAATTTCAAACAAGGAATTAATCATTGTCGCTATTATGAAATGCATCTTTTTATGCTTTCTTTTAACATAAAAATAATATAAATGTGAATACACGTTCTATTATAATATTTTATTATAAAGAAGAATTTCATTGACGTCTTTGTATTATACAGGAAAGATTTAAATCTATGCGAAGCTATAGTTTGCCGAGAAGAATGAAATATCGGATAAGTCACCAAAATACCGGAAAAGACATGAATAAATTCGCGGATGGATTTAGTGAGCTTTTAAGCAAGTTTTTAACAAGCTCACCCCGTGTATATTCATCGAAGCGATAAATGGAATATTACGATCCAAACTTCGTTCATATAGAGATAAGATGCGGGCAATTTATTCGAATTTTCTTCACAAGTGAACTTTACCGTCACTTTGTGATGGATTATTTAGGTGTTGGTGGATTTTCTTTCTTGTAAAAAAAAGAAAAATATAAAATTCTGATAATATTATAATAAACGTATTGACAGCTACAATGAATTATATAAAAACTTTCTGTTGACATTTTATAAGAGTTATTTAATATTGTTATTTGTAAAAATAACAATTATAAAAAGATTATAAAAAGATAGACTTTTTTTAAGCCATATAATTTTTGCAATAATTTTTACGTGATAAATATACAAAAATACAATATCTTAAATTAATATTAAAATATCTTTTAATTAGTTCTATTGAGATATATTCCACGCGAAAAGCATTTACTATCTTACAATTTAAATTATCGTGCTACTGCTACAATATAAATTGCCTGTAATTCAATTTCCGCCTTCAATGTCATTAATTAGTTCGCACCGGCAAGGATAAAGTACTGCTATGGCGAATAAATGAGGATAGATCGTGTCTACGTTCTTATTTCGGCAATGCTGTTTTTAATAATGGATGAAATATAACAAAATTTAAAAAATCAATTATAAATTTAAAAAATATAGTATCAACGATGAGAAACGATTATGGTATTCGAAAACGTATTTTAAGTGATGATTCTTACTTACCTTGGGTGGCATGATAAGAAAAGTTTCTATTTTGTGTTGAGCGAGATAACTTTCCCGAGATCCTCCATTGCCTGGTTCGACCTCAAATCGATCGCCCAGTTGTAAGAGAGTAGCTTTCGTTATATGAACTCTCCTTAAGATTGAAAATAATTGCTTTTATAATGTAGATGATAATTACTTTGTAATTATTTGTATACGCAATAATTAATCATCATTTCGTGAGAGAAAATGTTAATCAAGAATATATATACTTGATGTATACAAAACATTAAAAAATCTAAAGCTTTCAAATTATTACGATAATTTTTTTAAAGATAATCCTATCTATTTATACATATAATAAAATATACTTTAAAGCAATCCCAAAGTCGTACACAATCCCAAAGTCGTACACAATCCTAAAAAAATTAGATATAGAAAAAACTAAATATATTATTATAAATAATTATTATAAAATAAATAAATTACTATAAAATTATTACGTTTTAGATATTTTACAAAAATGCACAATTTTTGATTAAAAAATTTCATTGTCAAAATTGCTTAAGAAAAATATCCTTAATATCAACGTTAAGTTCTCCACTTTGTTATGTATAAAGTACTATACATAAACTCTATGCGGAAATGTCATATAGATCGAGAATATACATATAATACACACACACAAGTTGAGAAGTCTGCGATAATCTAACGATGAATCTTACCCAGGCAGACCACCACTCTCCATGTGATTAGCCAGGGTCACGTCGTCGCTCCACACGTCGAATTGCCATTTCCGCAGTCCGAGAACTCCGCATAGAACGTTCCCCGTGTGAATCCCTATTCTCATGTCGACGTTGAAGCCGGTAGCCTCGCGTACAAACCTACGTGCGAAGAGATATAATTCGCGAATACCTCTTTGTCTTGCACTTATGGGAGCATTTATCACGTTCGCTAGTACCGTTAAATTCGATGATTGTCCGTACGAGTTTTGTTTATTTAATACGTGACTCACATTCGGAAATATATTAAAAATAAACGAAAATTTAAGTCTCTCTTTTTAATTCTATGTTTAAAATTTAATTGTTGTAAAAAACATTTATTTAATGTTTACAATTGTGATTCTATGAAAAAGAGAATCGATTTAACATGTTTTTCAAGATCGGATAATGAAAGGAATAGGAAGAAGAATGTTATATCGATGTAACATCGCAGTTCCCCCATTATAGAAAAAAAATTTTGTAATTTCTTTTACATATAGAATGTAGCAATTATTTTCCACGTTTTTTCATATTATTCCGCTTCGGGCAACAATTTAAAAAAATTGACAGAGAAAAGCGTACATAACGAGCTGTCGCTCGTTAGTAACATACTGTAATTCTCTACTGTATTTTACTTCACTCTTACCTGATAGCATCAATCATTTGCAGCCCCATGTTCACGCAGTTGTAAGCATGATTCGGACGGGACACCGGAAGCCCAGAGACGCAATAATAACAATCGCCCAAAATCTTGATTCTCATACATTGATTGTCCTAAAAATCAAAAATAAATTTAATGTATATCCCGAAAAATTATATTAAAATTTAATTTAATTTAAATAATTTAAATAAATTAAATAAATTAAAAAATAAATTTAAAAAATTTAATTTAAATTTAAATAATTATTAAAAGTCGAGAATTTAAAGCAAAGAATTAAACAAAAAAAGCAATATACTTTTTATAGTAATTAATTTTTCTTAATTTAATAATTTTATTAATAATTAATTTCTTAATAATTGTCGGAATAATCTATTCGCATTCTTTTATCAAATACGTACAATTTTTGTGCACACACTCGCGCATATAATACGCGTATAAAATTTTATTTAACATAACAAAAATTTTACTGTATTGCGACGATAATTCTATAAATATTCATGTTTTAATTTTTAGTTAACAACAGTTATTTAATTTAGTTAACAACAAAATGCGGACAATATTCATTTATATGTATAAGTTATTCATTTGCATTTATATATAAAAGTTTCAAAATAATTCATAAATTTTCCTTAATATAACACTGATAATTTTTAATAATTACAATATTTGTTTAATTAATATTCCACTGATCATTTAATTAACGATTTGTGCAAAATTAAAAAGTCATGAGAGTGCAATAATTTATATTATTAATTTATATTTTTTAGCATTACGAATTTCATAAATCTATCATAAATTCGTATTTTACAAATGTTCATTTCCACTGTAAATGCTATTCATTATGAGAATATACTGACTACAGGTTTTGTTAATTAATTGTCTCTTTGAGACAGGGTACTGCTCGAGAGAATAGTCACCGCCTTTTCCTTATCGAAGTTAAACCGGAGTATCCCTGCGGCGATTTGCTTGCGTAGGTAGGTAAATATACTCGCAGAAGAAGGGAAATGAATAGAAACATTCCCGATGAAGCCACGATAGCCCCGCGTATAAATTTCATCCATATAAATGGAATAAAGTTTTTCCATCTGCGACATTGCTGCTCGGCGTGTCGCGAGATGAATATCCCGCTTTCTTCCGACACAATTGGGTTTCAAACGACAAGAAAGGAACAAATGTCAGAAGTTAGAAGCTAGTATCTATTCGGAAAAAGCAATTGATGTGTCTATATAATATGTATATATCACACTTCGTATTCTGGCAAAATAGCCGCGCAAGATTCAGACTGCCAAGCATAAAGTTCGCAATTTTAGTCGGTTCACATCGCATCACGCTCGATTTACGGCCTATCTTGAATCTAACTTGGACTCGACCTAATCTGGACTGGATTAAACGATCCAATCTAATTCAATCTCCATAATACCCATGAGTTATTCAATATAGAAAGAATTCTATTTCCATCATCTAAGATAACATTAAAGATAAAAATCCAAAAAGAATTTAATAGTGTATATTTTGATACAATTTAATTCGAAGAGGTATTGCATTTGTTTGGATTCATGTTAAAAGATGCAAAAATAAACAAAGTTTATCACATGACAATATTTTGCGAAGTTATAATTTTATTATAAAGATATCAATAACAAAATTATTAATTGAGATATTAATAACAAAACTTCGTAAAATATTAGAAATAAAGAAATTAAATGAATATAAGTCATTAAAATAGCGATAAATAAAAGAGAAAAATAATAATCTTTGTAAAAAATTTCTTTAAATCAATGTATAAACTATTATATATACATATATATATACATATATACATTTAAAGTTAAGAGAGAGAAGTTTTTGACAAAAATTATTATTTTTTTCTTCCATTTTTCATATCGGTATTTTATTTGCTGATATTTACTTGACTTTCCTATCTTTTCTCTTATTTAGTCTGATTTTATCAACCATGAAATTTTCAATGAAATCGAGAGAAAAATCAGAAGAAATGCTATGATTATTATACAAATTACGAGGCACATTACTATTTCTTATCGTTGAAAAGAAAGCAGAATAAAAAGAATGTTAAACAGCTTCTATCTTTATTATGTTATCTGCGTTAAATATATTTTATCTCTGATCCTCTTCATCGTATTTCATCATTATTATTTAATATTGTGTAAATTACGAACGCAGCAAATATTTGGAATTTTATGGTGATCAATATTTAATGATAATTAAATGATAATATTATTTTGTTTGTTCTCCTATAAAGAAAGATAGCTTATTCTGAATTTCTACTTTTTTCAGTCAAACTTGATTATTCATGTGAAATGATGTTTAAAGTATGTATCGATTTATACGACTGTAAAACTTGTTTAGTTTCATGAAATGTGTGTCACAAATAAATTCTTCTCTTTTTTGTGTGGAGTGTTCGCAAAAGTATGTTTGCAATAAAAAGTTTGTAATAAAATGTTTGCAATTTATAATTGATTTCACTTTTATATTTGATTTTGTAAAGATTAAAATTAAATTTTTAGAATGATGCTTTCAATTTTGATATAATTTTAATAATTTCTTTCTATTAATTTGTGTTAGACACAATTTTTTATTTAATTCCATTAAACGTGATATGCATTATTTTTATATAAAATGTTTTAAATATAAACGAATATAAATGTTTTGTGATTCTAATATAAATTGCAAACATAAAAACATACAAAAATTAAAATTATAATTAAAAATAATATTGAAAAATAACTTTTTAATAATATTTTTTAGTAATATTATTTTATATCTATTTATATAAGAATTTCAAAGGATTAGTTTTTATATTTATTTTCTTGAATAAATAATTGACAAAATTGTAATAATTTAGCATATAATTTTATTCGAAAATTTCATTGCTTTTTTACGAGATTATCCCGTCATTTCTACGTCGTAAAATAATTTATTGTTTACGAATTGCGATTTATCGCCGAAAGTCAGCAATTACATGGCATTACACGACAATTTAAGGAACAAGAAGTTACGAGTTACAGAGGATTACATTGTACGTATCCGGATCTGAAATCAGCGCCGATAAATTCCAGTTTAGCCGGCAAGACATAGGAAATTGAATTCGGAAAATTTTGTCATCGTGGTTTTCCGCCGATCGGAAAATTATGAAAATAACCACCGTCTTTTAAAAATAGCCGCAACTAATACAACGCAAACGTGTAGTGGAATTCTCTAGGATATAGAATTTATCCACAGCATAATTTCATCATTGATCCGCATGCCTGTGCCACATTTTCATCGTTATTACGATGACCATCTGGAAGTCTGTTCTTTACCTACACGCAGTCATAATAAACAATTGTACGCAGATTTGATATTTCACGAAGATATTCGATCGTACTTCCTGCAATATATCGGATATTTAATTTTTCGCACAAATATGTCTAAAAATTTCAATATTTGATAATTGGAATTAATAAAAATAATTAATAAAAATTTAAAAAGATTAAAGAAACATCTAAAAGTTTTATAATCAACTTTTAATATTTTTGCAAACTCAATAAAATTGATTGTTAAATTATAAATTCGATATTCTTGTCTTTTATGGAGTGTAATAAAGTATAATCGTTCAAGTTTGGCAGGAAATCAAATTTTTCATTACTTTCGAATAGTTATGTGGAATCTGCGTGTGAAAATAAATTTTTCTATTTCAAAACAATTTATAAAATGATTTTATTATATTTATTGTATAAATTATATATAAAAAAATTAGAGTTTGAAATATAATTTTTTTTTATTAATTTTAACTTAAAATTAAACTGTGACAAAATTAATTTCGCTTTTTACGCGTTTCCTTTTTCTCTCTCATTTTTTTTCTAATACGCGACAGTATTTATCTCTATTTGTAACATCTTATCGAAACCTCAATATAAAGGTGACAAATCGCAAAAATAGTTACTCGAGACAATCAAACCGAACGACTCAACATGTTAGCCATTTGGTCTTTTTGCTCGGTCAGCACGAGACATTCGCAAACTCGAAAATGAAGGAAAGACGATCTGCGGAACGACACGCGCGCCAGTTACAGCTGTTTGCGCTGGACCAGCGTGTAGCACTTGGATTCATGCCGCACTTGGGTGTGACGCCATAAGTCCTTCCGGCTGCTATAAAAGCGAGTTATGCGATCCCGTAAAGAGCCAGAGGCCTTGGGCGCTTGCAATTTGACCCCCAGTGTACGAGATTTAGCAAATTCTTAGTCAGCTAACTTTCGCTAGCTAAGTTCCTAGCTAACTAATTCTTCGATGATCAGTTTTAAATTATTAAAACTCGCAAATGCTATTGATAATCGATAATGCTATTAATTGATAACGACAATGTTGCAGTCATGGAAGAGAATTAAAAAATAAATGAAATTTTATTTTAAAAATTTGCTTGTCCGCGGATGTAATCCTCTCAATAGCGGAAATGGGTGTTGCGTATTTATTCATCAATATTAGCTTTTGTCGATACGAATTGTAACGATCGCAGTTTTGACTTGGCAAATAATTTTGAAAATTCTACATGAAACAATAGAACTTAATAAATAAAATAATTAATACTCAAGATGTAGGCATATAATATTATAAAAATAATTATTAAATATCATTTTTTTTTAAGTGATATGTGTGATTGTTTACAATTGAACATTTCGACTTTTTTTTAAAAATGCTTTACATTCTTTCAAGAGGGGAAAGTTGCTTCGTTAAGAATGCAAAAGATATTCTTTTTATCTCAATAATGAGAAGTGCTAAATTCTTCTCTGGATACTAATAAAGCGTTGCTTTCTCGAAAACTCGAGAAAATTGTATATACTATCATGTTTCATTGTCATTTCGAAAGCAATCTTCTGCGTTAATATAGCATGACGTGAAAGTCCTTTCTCTTTGCCAAGAGAAAGAACGCAAGCAGCATCCGATTATGAAAGAGAGAAGTACGCAATACTATATATTCTGTATCCTTTCATAGTTTTATTAGACTGCAGGTTTAATAGTCTAAGTATTTATATAAAATCCAAAGAACAGCATGAAATTACGATTCTCTGTATACAGCATTTTTATTGGATTTATCTCATTAAAATGCGAAATTTCTCTTCTATATAATTAATTTTTCATGCATAATCCTAATTAAGTTTTACATCATAAACTATCGTTTTTTATTGAAGCGCGGAAATGTATATGAATAGTATTATAAAAATTTTATTTTCAATTTTTATATTTTTATTATTAAATACATTTTGTTCATTATTATATTGTTATACTCTACACATTCAATTTTTTATATAAACAAAGTTTTCGCGAAATGTAATCAATATTATAGTCTGAAAAAAGAAAGATGGAAGATAGCCGTTAAAACGAAAAACAAATTTTACATATTTTTACGAACGAGAGTCAATAGATATGTGAAAGAAACTTTTCATTTTCATCGTTCTATCACAGTTTGATTGAACGACATCCAATATTTATTAAAAAAGTGCAACATCGCGCTATCGTATTTATTATTTTTTGACCCCCCAAAATAATCTATCATTTTTACAGAATTCTAACATTGTATATTGCACTGTAAACATTTTTTTTTTAATTTTTAATTCTCTCCTATTTCTCTCTGTGTTTCTATATATTTTTTATTATATTAGATAAAATACGTATATAAACGTTATATAACGTTTTCTTTAACATGTTTTCTTTAGCATATTCTTTAACATTTTTTACAAAAATACAATGCCACGCAATATACAATTCATTAAGAATTCGAATTATTTACATAGTAATAAAAAATAGGAAAAAAGCATTTTATTTAAATATATTTTACCTTGAATATATTTTATATGAATATATTTTTACAATTGGTTAGCCATTTGTTATTCTATGAAATAACTACAATTTGTATGTATTAAACAAAACTTTCAATAATTCAGAAACTTCCTTTAAAATAAAGTTAATCTTTTAATTTTCATTTTTATAACAAAATTAAAATATAAAAGCATGGAATATATATATTTATAGTTGAAACTTTAGAAAGATGTAAGAAATTATAGTTGATTACATAAAAAATGTGATGGGGTGGTTAATTATAAAAAAATAACTTTTTATTTAATAGAATATTTTAGTGTTCACTTTTTGTATGTAAAAGAAGATAATAATTATGCTATTTACAAACGTTGAATTGTAATAAGTTATACAAAGTCTAAAAAAATGTAATTTTCAATGTATTATAAACAAATTTAATCGAATAGCACTGCACTGGATTATGGCAAAATTGAAGAGTGAACATTTTATTACGTATAAATGAAATAAAAAACAAATAATTGCTGTACTTGTGTATTAGTTTACATATTTCATGCTTTTTTGATGGAGATTTATTTATGTCGAATCGCGAACCGAGAAATTTATTTAGTCAAGGGGAACTCTGTTTTAAAGCTGTGTTGACAGATTGACGGAAGAATTCAATTTGCCTGTGCTGCTGAAAAATGTTCTGTTTGAATCGTTAAACAGAAGTAAACGCGCAAACTAAAATCAGAAATATCCCGCCAACGAAGTTTATAAATATCGGATAATTTTTCAAATTACAGCATTTAATATAACAGATCTTTTTTTAAATTATAAAAAATCTTCAATGATCATATATTATATAAAAGAGAGTGGAAGATTTTTCCTAACTAAAACTAATGAGTTTCTCTGAAAATATCAGAAATTTTATTACATTAAAATTAAATGTTTGTGTATTTCAACAAATAACATTTTAAAATGCATTTTAAATTAAGAAATGATTTTAAATTATTCTTGCACAAATTGAAATACATACTTTCTGTTTTTTTGCACAAGTTATGGATGATCGTATATCATGTCTGTTGGTAAAGGGGGTAAAAGGTTTGAGATATTTTATTTACTCGACTTAATGGATCCCTCAATCTCTTAATAGATGATGATACCGATGATAATATATCTAATCTAATCTGGCAAGAAAATCTGATTATAATGGTTTATAACTTTCTTTTCTTTTATCGATCCGATCAAGTCTCGAATGAATTTGACTCATTAAAATCCAATTCAGAAATAATACAAACAATTCTAGACATATTATCAATAATAAAAATTAATTAATGATCAAAGAGAAATATATAATGTGCGAATATAAACTTATTTTGTATTATCTTTTTTATACAAAATAATTGTTATGCAATTAAAAAAACGATTCATTAAAAAGTTTACGTGTATTTAAACTGAACATTTGAGATTAATGATAAAATAAGTCAATTTAATTTAGACTTAGTTTGCTCTTACCTGTGCTATTTGATCAAACCTGCCGAAGAGTTCATTGAGAGTCTTTACGAGATCGGAAGCTGAGAGCTGCTCCGATAGAGGTGTAAAGTTAACGATGTCCGCATAGAGAATGCTACGCAATAAAGATATATTCTGTTTTCTAAAATTGTATCTTTTATAAAGTTTCCCAAGATACAAAAATATTTTATATAAATGTGAGATTTAATCTTTCTTTATAAATATTTATAAAATTTATATTTATAATATTAACATTTATAAATATTTATATTTATAATATTTAAATTATGTATCCCTTTAAATTATGTATTAAATTTAATATTATGTATCCCTTTTTCTACATAAACAAAAAACAGAGAATATTTTTAATAAATTTAACATACTTTATCGAAAAATATTAATGTAAAGATTAAATTTAAATTTGTACAGAGTAATTCACTAAAAATTTTAAAAAATTTTAAATTAAAAAAATTTTTTTTGGAGAGATGAATAAAATTTTATATTTTCAATATCATTTATTTGACATTATGTCACATTAATATTAGCATTTAAAAGATATTTTTTAAAGGAAGAAGTATCTCGAGAAAAAAGATATATTTTAAAGCAAGAAATATATTGAGAAAAAAATTGCCTTTGATCGATCGTTTGATGTTTAAAGCGCGCATGAATTAAATTGGATGCTGCACAATCGCGTGCATACATGACTTAAATTCAGACATTGCTGAATCGGAGCATAAAAGGAGAAGCGATCAAAAGCGATACGTGATTTATGCTGTGTGCGTTTAATTCGATATAAATCAATATTACATATTATCTTTGACCTATATAATTGTCGAGAAAACTAGATGTGTCTTTTAAAAACACTGATTAAATTATTCTTGTTCTTGACCTTATGAAAGACGACTTTACATTATTTTTATCGTTACCTTTTTCGTCACAGATCGAACGGATATTTGTATGAATGAAATTTGTATGAATATTCTTATAGTAGAGATATCAAGTAGAGATATCAAGAAACACAATTAAGATTTAAATATTTTGTGATTTTCTTATATAATCACAATTATATTATAATTTATTTGAATATTTACTTTGAATTTATCAAAGAGGAAAATGACATTCATAAATTATGCCAATTAAAAAAATATCATATAGAGATTCGTCTCATTACAATCAACGAAATGGATTATAAATTTTAATAATGTACCTGACGTTATTATGTCGCTGCACATACATTTCTTGGAACGTGGTTTGCTTATGCTTATTAGCTTCCTGACAAGCATCCGCCATTTTCAACATTATACTCCTTTTTACCTGCAATGAAATATTATGATGTATTAATATTTTTTTACTAAAAAAACATTATCTACGTACATATTGCAATTTTCTATAAAATACATCGTTACATAAAAGCTTTGTAATCATTAGATTGACCTATCTTATATTCAAATATTATATTTATATACATATGACGCAACGAATTGAAAATTTGTGCATTATGCAATCTCGCAGCGACAAAACATTGTGTATGCCAATAGTCTTCGATTTGGAGATTAACACGCAAATCATTTATTCAAAGTCGTAAATTATTCATGTCATACGTAAATATCGTTATACGATCCGCATAACAATGCTTGCATTCGAAAACAACCGGAATCTGAATTACAATCAATTTCAATAAATAAATCCATTTCGTATCCTAAGTTTTATTAAAAGTAATCGATTTCTCTTAATCGGATTTTCTATGTAGTAAGTCGCAAAGAAATATTAAAGGTAAAGAAATATTACTAAAAAACAAGTAAAATATTTTAATAAAAAATAATCTCTTGAGTTATTTTTGAATATTTATCTATAAAGATTGTAAATAATCGTAGAAGTAGAGTCACTAACTCAAATCTATCTTGTCAATAGAAAATCGGGCTTACTTAAATCTATCTATTTAAATTAACTTGTAAAATACATATTGTAGCAACTTAGTACATAATATAAAAATCCTATATATATAATATTGAGCATGTGAAAATCGACGTCGCCGTGACGAAAAGGATCATTGAGTATTTGCGTAAAGGGAAAACGTTTATACACTTGTTGGGTTCTAACGGTGGATTCCATCAACACACAAACTGAAACTACCCCTGCTGTATGTATATTATGTAACGTTATATACTCTCGAGCTCTTCTATGCGCGGATGGACGTGTCTCTTCTCAGAGATGTAATTAACACGATCACGAAGACCTTTCGACTGATTGCTCCTCCGTTTCTACCATAACTGACATAAAACTTTCGTTATAAAATTTATATTTTATTCGCCTCTTCTCTTGAAACGAGATTCTTATCAATCGATATCTCAGAGACTTTTACATCATTTTTTAATTATTTCTGTTGAAGAACTTCATGAAAGTTGATTTATTACAACGCAATATCCCTCTTAAATCAATCTGCATCATAAGATTGCAATACACACAGAATGCAGCATACGATGCAAAGTACGATGAAAACAATTGCGTTCAAAATTTAACTCTTACTTTTTTACATTAGAGAAACTAGAGATGCAAGCGCCTGCAAATTCCATCTCTTGCATGATTTCATTAAATTAATCTTGTAACTAATGTATATAAAAATAAATATAAATATAAATATAGGTATATATAAATATATAAATATAAATATAAATATGTATATAAATATGTATATAAATATATATAAATATAAATATAAATATATATATATATATATTTATACTTATATATTTATATATATCAAAAGTCAAATATCGCTAACTAAAATTTAAATAAATTTAATTAAACATTAATTGATGATATTACGTATAGCTATAAAAAGTTTTTTATGCACATATTTCCACAGCACGCTTAGGAAAAAACTCATCGCTTGTACCGCCATAATGAACCGGATTAATCCAGATTTTAATTAGATTCGCGGAGAACAATTTTGAGCGATACATTTTTATAGCTCACCTCTGCCGCGATGTAAGCGGGAATAACGCTCAGCAATAATTGTTCCTGCTGCTCTCTTTCGCATTCTAGCTTGATTCGCGACTCAATCACCGTCTTCGTGCCTGAGAAAGTTTTTCGATGAGCCGTCGCCGTCAGGATTCTATAGTACATACCTGCGAGGATAGCAGCCAGAAGAAACACAATCTCCACAACGATCTGTCGAAAAAAATGTTCCTTCAAAATGCCTAATTCATGTATATCAATTAAATAATATTCTTAAAAATTAAAATTTTTAATAAGTATTCCAAAATATAAATTGTTTGCTGCATGGTAACATCATTTTTAAAAGTTTCGCTTTATATATTAATTTTCACGATATAAATAATATCAATTTATTAATTAAGTTTTAAAAAAATTCTTTATAGTAATTTTCTATTGTATAATTTATTATGCAATATAATGTTTAATAAATTGATTAAAAAAGATTATAAAAAAATCTCAACTACATTTACCTGAATTACATTATAATAGCTCGAGAGATCTTCAAAGATAAATCTCCTCGAAACATGCGTGAGAGCCAGGATACAGCCGATGATAAGCGGTACTTGCCACCTCATTTTAGGTAGAATAGCGATTATTGACAGAATGCAGGCGAACAAGGGCAGGACGCCTTTTAATATTAAAATTCCTAGACCGAGTATGATGGAGGATGCTAAGCCTATTAAAATCCTGGACCGTTTGGAAGTCATAGTCGAAGATAATTGCGTGATCACTAAAAGTGTCAAGGATACGATGAGCATGGTCGTCAATGTTGATACAGGTACAAGATCGGTTACGTGGAACAGCTTCTGAAAAATATTTTCCAGACGAGATCAATTCTCTATGATCCTGCCTTCGATATTTACTCCGATATGTTTCATCAACTTATTCCTGCGATGCGATGTCAGGACTTACTTATTGTTACAATTCGAAGTTTTATTTCTTCAAAATCTCTCAAAATAAATTTCTCATCAACGATTGATTTTACATGTGTTTTTTAATCGAGAAAAGAAAATACGAGAGCAATTTTGTTTCGATCTGAGATAAATCACGTTATTAATTTCCTTACACATTTTTCGCAAATTGCTAATACAGAAGGATCAACATCGTTCATTTCTGGATTCAATCTTAATACACAGTGTTTTATGTATTTTTGGCGAATTCATAAAACAATTTCTGTGTTACCTTCGTTCAATATCAATATCAATATTAATTCTTAGGCTCTGCTGACCCTAAGGTCAGCGAACACCTAAGGTCAAGGATGCATCTTGTTAACTGATTCGCGAAGAATATGTGTGAACAGTGCCCAGAGGCACCTTGGACAGATATCGATCCGTTACAAAGGAGAGCACTAGATGGAGTTTTAATTGAAAATTAATTAAGGCTTCGATCGTCATCTTGTAATTTCTACTCTTGAAAGGTAATGAATGTTTCAAGTTAAGGTAACTTGAACATTTTGGTTTAAACGATCATCTTTTTGAAAATAATAGAATTAATTATAAAATAATAAAACGGGATAGTAAGTTAAAAGTTAAATATTTTTTCTATGATTGATAAATTAAAACATTTTTATAAAAAAGTTTTTACAAAAACAGAATTATTTATATAAAAATAATTTGTGTCTATATAAAATTTTCTTTATTTTTTAGACAAATTTTTATTAATAATTTAAAATATCCTCCTTTTTTGTGATCTATAGTAAAAAATAAATGTTTTTTAATTTGCTATTATTTTTACTTACAGGATAATCGGTGAAGCATAGAGCACCTAGAGCGATTAGCGAAGCAATTGCGGCGACACAAAGTGTCCCTGTGTAAAGAGACGCCGTCAGTTTTCCTTCGTATTTGTCACGAAGTTCCTGAAGTTCCTTAACGCCAGCATCGTCGCCCATTGCATCGCCGAGACTCTCTGGAAAAAAGTCGCATTTCTATGTTAACTTTGTTGAATTCACATGTTACGTATATAAAGTAACGTGTGTGTGAAGGAATTTCAGGATAGATGTGAAAGAACATTCCAGAAATTCAGAACACGTTGTATATACTTAATAGTTATTGTGAAAGAATATCCGTAACAAGATACAGGATACTTTGTAACAAGAGGAAATAAAAGAGATACATGTCCGACTTTAAATTTAATATAATGTTGTACTGTCATATTGTAAAAAAAGATAGCGATATAAATAATTTTTAAAAATGCTTTCATTAAAAAAAGCGTATTAAATTTTTTAAATAATATAATAAATTTAAATACTATTGCAGAAACTTTTCATGTTTTATATAATAGCATTTTAGAGCATATATGTATCCCTTTTCGGTATTATAATAGTATAATATACTCAAGATAATATATATTACATCAAGTCTAATTAATATCTGTAACATTAATAGCTTAAAGATATGCTTGCTTGCAACATACGTGCGGCAAAGTTTGACATCGAATTTCAAACAGCAACGTATTACCGACTTGATACATCTGACATCTGTTTTGGAAAAGCTTTCATATTGCGATACTTAGTATTGTAATTAAACGCTAAAATTTAAAATTATGGAATTGTATTACAGAATTTTAATTGTTAACAGAATTAAATTGTTAAGGTTTAAATAATTATTTAATTTAAACACGAGCGAAATTTATCATGGATATGATATCGTAGATAGACATTGTCATATTTATTAATAATTTCTTAATTATTATGTGAACACCTCTAATATTATATATAAATACATTACATATTATATATAAATAATATTTAATTAATTATGCAATAAATAAATTTAAATAAAAAATTCTCCTTAATGCATATATTATTTTATCATACTTTAAAATTTTAATTTGTATGTATTATATTATGCGTATAACAAATATTATACATATTTAAATATATGAGATTGTTTAGTTAAATATATATGAAACTATTATTAATATTACATTTAATATACTTATACTCTATTAATATATTATGTTTTGAATATCCTAGATCAAAAAAAAAGATTCATTATAAACATTTATATTGTTATATCTTATCATCAACATATTATTACATTAAATATAATTAAATATAATAATTTCCATATATATATATATATATATATATATATATATATATATATACATTTTTCCATTTATACACACATATATAAGTTTTTCTCAATTTTTGTCGTTAAATTTCTTGCAGCAAAAAAAATACGAAATTATTGCATGCGCTTAACAACCCAACCCTTTTTGTCGTACGATGATGGTATCCATAAAGGTTAATTGAGAGTGGTTTAAAAGACGAGTAGAGAGAAAAGATTATGATATACAGCATGGAAAAGTAGAGTGAGCACAAACTTAATTAAACTGATTAATAATTTATATTCTCATTCTCTCTCTTTCTCTCTTAATTACAATTAGATGGAAGAGATAAAGCTAAAGTTGAAGACCGTAAATGAAGAATACAATTCATAATATTACGTCGAAATATGATATAAAGTTTTGATCTTAAACTAGGCATAATAAAATATAAATTACAATAAATAGAATTCATTACCTACTTTGTGAAACAATACATTTTTATAAAGTTATTGTATAATTTTTATTTACTATTATATATTTTTAAATATTTTAGTGAAAAAAGGAAATATGTATATGTTCATAAAGAGAGAGATAAATGTATTATCAATTTTGCACAATAATTCTAATTAACTGCTTAAGATCAATTTTAAATTATATATTTGTCACATTATAAAAAAATAATAAAATATTTCATCTATTTTAATATTTATGATCTTTGAAAGCGATAACAAAGCATATATAAAGCATAATGGATATTATATTCGCGCAATTTCATATAATAAGGGAATATGTGTCAAGTTCTAAGGGCAACCGAATATTTCACTATTTCTCTCACAAAATATTTCTCCTTCGTTTTATCACTTTCATAAAGGATAATACTTTTATCACGCGCTATATTCCCTTATCGCTAAATTTTATTCTGTTTTAGTGTAAAACAAAGGAAGATTGACTAAAGTTACCTGGATCATTTCCAAGTTCATGATTCTCAAAGCTTCAATATGATGTTTCATCGATAATTCATCCTGATAGAAATCCGATATACAAGCGATATGCGTGCGAAGAGGACATTTCGAGAATGTCAACTATCTGACAAAACTTGTCTAGCAAAACGAGTGCAAATGGCAAAGAATCATTGCGAAATGCTAGAATTTATGTTTGCTTTCGTAACATTTATATTTTTATTACAATATTTAAAATTTCATAGAGAGAGAATATATATTTTACGAAAATTCTCAAATTTTATTAAATATCAGGTATGAATAAAATAAATATTCGTACAAAAAATATATGTAATTATAATAATCTCTTACAGATATATTTATTTCAAATTTATATATCTTTATATTATCTCTGTTTCTGTGTCTTTCTCTCTCTCTCTCTCTCTCTGACTTTTTTTACTTTTATTTTTTCAATTATTTTTTAAACACCTTGTATAATAATATTTTATATACAAATATAATAACATTTTAATAACAAGACGACTATATATTATTAATTGCAATAAAACATTTGTTTATTATATCCATTCGCGAGTTTTATAAAGTTTCGAACATTATTGTAATATAATTTAAACTGGTTTTTATTACAATAATCTTTCTTTTTTTCAATTATCGCAAACGACGTAATTCATTGTTTGTTCGTTTATTGCGTATTTTATAATGAAAGCAAGTGTAATGAATAAAAAGGCGTAGCCACGTATCGCGTGGTACGCAGCTCTGCAGGTGCATTAACTTAATTGATCGAAATTGTCGTCGCCGACGACTAAACGAATCAAGCTAATCCGCTAATGAAACAAGTCGCGTTCAGACACGCGATTCAAGCTAATAGTTCGATAGAGTCAAGGGCAACCACTGTATCGATGATTCTAATTAACTATCACTCTTTTGCATTGATACATGCTATGATACACAAAGGTGTGCAATTAAACACCTCATTAAATGGATTACAATATTTGGATTATCGGTCGAAATTATTCCATTCAGTTTGCGCAACTGCTGCATGTGTTCCATATTGCTTCTGTAATCCGCAAATGTAAATCATGATAACGTTACGTGACAAGTAACGTAATATTACATAGCCAATATTATGATGGGATTATCAATTAAATGAAATAATAAATAGAAGAAAATAAAGCAGAAAAAATAAAATAAAGTGTATTACATATATTGCATACACACAAGCATATGTGCATACACACACACACACACACACACACACACACACACACACACACACACACACACACACAATAATAATAATAATAACACAGATATTCCATTTTTCATTTTGTATCGCTTCTTGTTACATTAATAAATTTTTGCGAAATAGTATCTTTATTATACGATATGAATAAATTATATCCAATTAAAAGACATCACCATTCGTACAAATTTTATTCTCACGTTATATTGTGTCTACTGTTACTTTCTATTCCATTTAACCGTGTTGTAAAATGGAAACTGTGCGACACTTCATTAAAGTGCGCTTTAATTGGGCGTTCATATTTCTCTCCTTTTAGTCGTCATAATCAGTCGTGAAATGTAACGGCATGACAAACCGCTCTTTGAATTAGAAATTTTTTCCAAATAGAGAATAGTTTGTTCTTTTTCTACATTCATATAATTTTTAATTTTCTTCTACTTAGTTCAATTGGATAAAAGTATCTTCACATAAAAATCATGGAGAATACTTTTCGCACAAAAGTGGTACTGTGTATAAAAATCTGTATTTATATAAACCTCTATTCTCTATAAAATAATAAAAATATAATATTACTTTTAAGATTAATACAATTTTTTAATGAAATAAATTTTTATAATTTTTTGATATACAAACTTGTAATTTTAGAAACATTTAACAATTTTCAAATAGTGATAAAAAAATATTATTAAAAATTATATTTTTATTAAAATTTAATCAATTTTATTATAAAATAATTCTCATTAAATAAGTATTAAGTTCTTCTTACGTATTATAAATATCTTAAATTAAAAAGTTTAAATAAAGAAGTCAGAAGTGTGTATGTGTGTATGTTAGTTTTTTATATATTTTTCGATTTATTTATAATTTTTTCAATATTTGCACAATTCATACTAATATTATTTTTATAATAAACAGTTTTTGAAGTATTATATATTTATACGAACAATTAAAAAGAGGAATTGCGATTCTCTTGCGTCTCAATTAATGCCATTCAAGTTCATTGTTGTGACTAATATTAATATTGTCTCAAGAAGCTTGGATCAATTTGGCGCAATTAGCACGTTGTCCGCGAAGCAGATTGCGTCATTATATAAACCAGAAATACATCCTGTCATCATCCCAATTGCGTTAATTACAAACTTCTGGTTCCGGAGTTTCGCCCCGATTCAACAATTATCAAAATCCGCACGCTATACTAACTTCTCGTTTTCACGCTTTTCACTCAATTTTCCGCATCACAATAAATGAATTTAACGAAGGCGTAATATCGATATATGATATGCGATGTAGAAAATGTGGAAATGTCTCTTCTTCATTTTTATCGGTTTAATCTCTCGATAACAATTTTGCAATGCAATTTTATTGTATTACTTCATATTTTGAGAGAATAATTGTTTTTTTTTTCTTTTTTTATTGTCTCCCTAATATCTATGTACAAAACAAATCTTTTTTTGTAAATTTATTAAACTATTTCCTTCTGTTATTTGATAAATTATTATCAAAAATTTGTACACACACATACACACACATACACACATACACAATCATAATTAAAACTTATAATAAAGTTAAAATTGATTAGCAATGTGTGCTTGTGTACGTGTGTGCATTTATTAAATTTATTTAAATTTACTTATTTATTAAAATATTTG